CTCGAGGCTGACATCATTACCCTTCGATTTGACTTTATCTTCAAAAACTAATCTTCATTTGTCTCTGATTTCTGTTCTTCGTCATGTTCAGGTTTCCTTTACCACCCCCAACCCTGGTTTCCACCTGGAAAATTCTTGGGGACGAGAATGGCTTCAGTGCTGGAATCAACTGTCCAGTGGAAGAAAGAAAACTTAAAGTGCGGGTTAGTTTAACTGGAAATTCATTGTCTTCCACGCAAGTGTGTCAAAAAGGACCAGCGAACTCTTGTCCTTTGTCTCCTTGAAATCCGTAGCCAACGGGCTATTTATTTAGCCTCTCGTCATTGGTAGAAATGATCTTATCTGATTAAAAGAGTTGTCCTGTTGCAAAGAAGAAATCTTTCGCCATAATACAATGACGTGAAGAGCATAGTTTGAAACTGTGAGATGCCAGTTTATGGACATTTTATCGTTTCTAGGGCCCGGCGATGGTTTCAGTCACGTCCAGCGAGTGCGAGCGCCGTAACGATCGTTCACTCGGCTTCTCGGAGCAAGTTGGCCATTGGGATCTCCCTATGCATGAGGGAGAAGTAGTGACGAGTGCTGCTGTGGGACCTGGTAAGGAGTGAAACCCCATTTCTTTGTGAAAGTAAGATACACTAAGATGGTTATGCTGTGGGCTCAGCTAATACACGAACCTTTATCGTTCCAGGCGAAAGTTTGAAAAACTGGGTTTCAATATTCCACTGGTTTCTTGATGGCCCGAAAAGCTTAATCGCCAGGATAATCGCGCTCGTCTTGTTCTCGAATTACCATGCGCTGTTTTCATTTTTTCTCAGGAGGAAACAAGGGGGACTGGATCCACGTCTTAGCAATAAGCCCAGTCTCGCTCTACTCACAACAGACTAATCAGGATTCAGTATTGTGCATGGACATGTATGACGTGTTTCCCCGCTCTCAGTACGCAGTCCCTCAGTTGAAAATGGCCGCTTTAGGAGGCGGCCTACAAGGACAGGTGCTTATTCATGAACAGGACTCAAATTCACTATATCTGTTGAACCCTACGGAAAAGGAACTTCGAACTCTTAACTTCAAATCCATAGTTGACAACACCAGAGAGAAACTAACACGACATTTCGCAATTGAAAAGGGTAAATTTCTGATGAACTCAGAATTTTCGCATGAAAATATGGTGATTGTTTATCAGGAGGATAGTAACAAGATGGACGTGGTAGACGTAGCTGACGGAATAACGCAACACATTACTCTGCCATTTATTGTTGGACAGTTTCACCCTTTCTCACGTGATTTGTGGCTTGTGTGTGAGACTGGGACCGACCGCAAGTACCTTCTGACGAAGCCGTACTCAGAAGCCCCTGTACCTTGTGTCCTTCATCCAATTGAAAGCATTAACGTCAGTGGAGGAGACGACCAACAATGGATATCGATATCAACTCGGAGCTTACCATCGGTAGCTATTTCTTCGTTTGTAGGAGCGGAGAAGGGCTCTAGAAGTAATCGATTGCTGGTCGGATCCGAGGATTACGCCACTGTCGCCATGGCTCGGCCCGATCAGTTACTTGAAAAGTCTCCAGTTAGTTTTTATTCATTTCAGAGAGAAAAGAAAACGGGAAATGCATCTAACCAGTCAGGTGCGTCATCATACTTTAAAATCTCCCTAATTTTACCTCACGATGACCAGAGAAAGTCGTAATACGTTTGATTTTTAGAGCTGAAACTCACTTTGCGTTGCCGTACAACGTTTATTTTTGAGGTTGTTGAAGTGAGGCTGGACATGAAATGTGATATTGCCCAAAGTTGATAAATACGTCCTTTTTTAGGTACAGTGACTCGCTAACTATAATTAGCTAAGATTCAACATCCATTTTCCTCCTTGGCTTTTTTTTAGCGGATTTCTGGGCCAGAAATGTACCGTAACTATATACTTTTTCTTTATTTGAATTTCTTAGAGCGAGTAAAACCCTTGGATAAACTTATTACAGAGGACACAGTCCCTCCTCTTTGTCTTCCCACCACGGCTCAAGTTGTTCGTTTGGTCCCAGGGTCGACTGTTCCTCGCAATGACGGCCAAACAATGGAAGTGGATGAGGATACTGGTCAGTTCAGGACGCGAAGTTTATTGGGATACTTAGAAGTCACCGATGTAGCGAGAAGGTGGGTTTCAACCTTGAGTAACTCTTATTTCATTCAGATCGCCACCCAGCGACGATTATTCTGTCGTCGCTTTTTCAATGATGTATTTTTTCTTTTGCAACACATTTTGACCTTATTTTCCAGATCTGTTCGCTACATTCCATTCCCAGACCGTCGCGATCTGGCTCTATACGCGAGATTAGCGGGAAAACCTATAGTTATGGCGCCAACGACATACGAGGGCATTGTGACAGTAGACGTTTCCGGCCGTGTCAGATTGTGGGAGACTGGTGTGGTGAACCTTGTCCGGTCATTAGAGAAATGGAAGGGACTTATAGGGGAGGACTATCAAGGTCCCTTACAGGTACGGTCCTTTCTTTGGGAGAGAGAATTGGTGAAGTCAGTTTGAATCTTAGGATGGATGACTTTTTTTGTTGTTTCCACCGTAGGTTAATTACTCGAGAGAAAGTGGAGAAGATGTCACAAGTCCAAAACATGGAAAAGTAGGGGTGTTTTCTTTTATTATTGCTCTTGTATCAAAATACCTAAGTTTTCTGATTGCAATAGTTTCGCTTGGAAACCACTGAGTTTTGGTCCGTAAGTCAACTTACTCTCAGTGACGCGGACGAGACTCTGAGTAGACTGAGAGTTGAGTGCGGAAAGTTCTGCGTCAATTATCCTGAACATTACTGATTCTCTCTGTCTCAGGTCGATCCTAACAACGACCCTCATGTAGGTGGGAACACTTGGGCTGGGGGAACTGGGGGCCGCGATACAGCAGGGCTCGGAGGCAAAGGGGGACCATATCGATTGGACGCTGGACATGATGTACATCAGTTGTCCGATGAAGAGAAGGACGCAGTTCCTGATGACGTCAAACGTGCAGCGAGGGAGATGGGCCGGAGAGCATTTAAACAGAAGTGAGGAATCATTTAGTGAACTTTCAACTGCTTTCCATCAGAAAAGATTACTGACCTGAGTGTAATAGTTACTCGTAAATTAGCGCTCGACTCATCCTCAGTACTTTGTCTGCCTAAGCGCTGGTTTATTTATTCATTCATGTAATATTTATACTGGAACAGCCAGCTTTGCTTATTTAAATGAAGGTGACACGGTGCGATCAGGAAGAGCCATGTTCCTCCGGTTTGTTGTGACTGATAAGTGTATTTTGTTCTTTCAGGTTGCGTGAAATCCAAATGAGCGAGTACGATGCCAAAATGTATGAATCTTTTTCGTCACGTGTTCGCCGCCAGGTCCAGTCCTTGCGAGTTATTCTTGACAGTTTGCAGGCTTCAGGGCAGGAAAGAGTTTGGCTTCGGAACCAGACCTCCGGCGAACTGGACGATGGAAAGTTAATCGAAGGATTGACTGGAGAAAGGGCTATCTACAAGAAACGAGGAGATGAAAACCCAGAGGTATGTAGGCCTTTTCTGGGTACTAGTTATACAGGCCTATTTCAAAAATGTCATTCACCCGGTATATAATGAGAGATGTTTGTCAGGTAAGATCTGTAGCCTTGTAAGGCAGCTTCGCCCGCCGCATTGACGAGTGCTCGGTGTCTGAATCGGCTCCCCCTTAAGCTTAATGTTGATGAAAAGGGTGGCATGACAACCAACAGGACAAAAAACAAGACAAAACCTGACCAATTACAAATCATTTTTCTCTGGGTTTTGTCCTTTGTGTTCATGCTTGTTTGGTTTTTTGTGAAACTTTTAAATGTTCTTTATTATTTCAGCAAGGAACTCCTCAACGCCTTCCCAAGCGCCTTCGCTTTGTAGTTGATGTCAGCGGCAGTATGTATCGGTTTAACAGCTTGGATGGAAGACTGGGGCGAGTGATGGAAGCTGCATGTTTGGTGATGGAAGCATTTCATCAGTACGATAACAAAATTAAGGTTCATGTCTTTCTATCTTATGCAAATGTGAGTTTTAGCCATTTAACCTGGTACAATCCTTTCACACGTTCTGTATGGTGTGTTTTCTTTCAGTATGATATTGTTGGACATTCGGGCGATTCTCCCGAGATTCCTTTCGTGTCTCATGATTCGCCGCCCAAGAACAATAAGGAACGCCTCAACATCATAAAAAAGATGCACGCACATGCACAGTACTGTTGGAGTGGTGACCACACCTTAGAGGGCACAGATTTAGCAGTCAAACACATAACAGCAGAGGAAGCCGATGATTACTTTGTTGTCGTCCTCAGCGACGCAAATCTCGAGCGGTATGGTATACCCGCTGAGGCTTTTGGGAAAGTACTCATGTCAGATGCACGAGTTCATGCATTCGCCATTTTCATCGGTTCGCTTGGTAATCAGGCTGACAGGTAGATGTGTCTCATAATTTTGATGTTAGTGAAAGCCGACTTTCCCATTCTTGTAAAACTCTTTCCTTTTTTTCATTTCAGACTGGTCAGAAAGCTCCCAGCAGGACGGGCGTTTGTTTGTATGGACACCAAACAGCTTCCACAAGTTCTACAGCAAATTTTTACTTCCGCCATGCTTTCTTCAAGATGACGTGTGACTCAATTCAATTCCACCGACCATCAAAGAGTGACCACAGAAAAGTCACTCAAATAATGAGCAGCATTGGAATCAATCCTAGATATTGATTTTTCTCAATCTTTTCTTGGTAGGGAAAGGCATAAAATGAATATAACATTTATAAACTGAATGGGATAAGTTAAAAAAAAGAATAAGACGGCGAAAGAAATTTATATGCTTGTCTAAACGTTGTTGTTGCCTGGTTTGTACTAATGATTGAAAGAGCTTACCCTTCACTCCTCCCTCCTGAAATTCTTCCAGTCTTCAGGTTAAAAAACATTGGAAACACGAGTTTTGTTATCAGATACTTTTGTGCTTTCTTTTGTTTTTTAAAACTATCAGGCAGGTACTTTCAAGTAATTCGTTGACTATTTAGGCGAAATCCACAGACACTTCAGATGCACGTGCCACAGGCTGATGAAATACTATTGTCATTGTCAGCAATAACCTTTATTTCTTTTCAACCTCAGTATTAACCTCTATGTGGGTATTCCAATAACTGATGTGCTTTCGAACTGAAAATGCAAACAATACATTACCAGGTGTAACAGTTAATGTTACAGGGAGCTCACAAGAAAATTTTATGTAAGAAACTTTCTTCACGTATATCTTAACTCGATAAGTCTGACTATGACACAAGTTGGCTACTTCATACGTGTTCGATGTGTTTTTAGCAAAAGGCCATGTAATCAACCATAAACAATTTGTATTATTAAGTTTTCTAACAACTGGGCGTTGTCCAAAATGCACCATGTGTTCTGACATTTTATGTGTTCCTTTTCGTGAGCACACACACAATTTAAGGTCAACACCATTATCGGCGCACTCTGCGTATGTTAAAAATAAAGTCAGACGGTCAAAAGAGACTAAGGTCATTTGTAAAGAATTTTCTCCTAACATTTCCCTTGTCATTACTACCACGTGAAACACGTCTTCCCTCTGAGGAACAACATCTCCTGCTTGAACTCGAATATCCATCGAAGTGATCAGAGTTCCGTCTTTTTTCGAGTTTCTTTCTCGGATATTTTCAAACCATAACGGTTGCAATCTTTGACAGGATCGTTCATAAATGTTCTGTATTTGATTTTCCAAGCGATTGTTCAACTGACCCATCGCGAACTCAGCGATAGGAATACGTGAAGTGTCATTATCTGCTGGTGCATCCCAACCCTTACACACGCACAAGTTTGGCAGCGTTAGTTCCAGATCATCACACGTACGGTTCATAGCGATGGGTGTAAACAACCCCTTTGGCTTAACATTTCCGGATAGGGGGTTGACCAACACCATTAGAGAATGGTGTAACTCTATCATGGTGACAAGCCTCCGTTGGTTCTCTCCTAGAGCGGACATTGCTTTCCTCCCTAAGAGCGCCGCTACTCTGTCAGGAACAATGATGAATAGGGACGGATGGTACATCTCAAAGCGCCCCTCCAAAAATTCTGAACTATATCCCGTATATGTGTTTCCATGATCCGCCAGAATGACTGTTAAAGTGTTCTGCTCGTTCGCCATGGCCCTCACGTAATTCTCCAAACTGATATCCAGGGTTTGCGTGCGGATACCTTTGTGATCGTGGGCGACGTTGAGTGAAGTGTGAGAGAAAAGTGGGCGAGCGTCACGTGACTTGCCGATAGCGTGAAGTGTGTCAATTGTGTAACGAAGAAAGTAAGAGTGTTGAAACTTTCCATTATAGCAGATTTGGTCCCCATAAGGCCCAAAGAAGGGAGTTGTTACTCCCAATGACGAAAGGATTTTACAACTGGAATGCGTCAGGCCTTAAACAAAACCATAGCAAAACACATGTCAGAAGTATCTCACTGAGCGAGTCGGTTCCTTTAATCACTCCCACCGAAAAAGGTTTGAAACTCGCGAAGAGGACCAATGAATACTACGTGACTGACATTTATTTGTGTAAATTGGATTAATCTTTATCCAAACTTACCCGTGTGATCTATGAAGGTATTTTTCATCTTGTCTTGAAGGTCACTCCATTGCCTTACTCCATGATCAGCCATTAGTCCCCAGATCCCTTCCCAACACAAATCTTCTTGATACATTGTATGGTACCCAGCTCTCTTATAATGCCC